AAAGCTTTAACCACCGGAAAAAATGGTGGAACCATAAAAAGGGGAAAATGGAAGAAGATGGTTGGAGACGAATTGATGGAAGAAGGGATGCACAAAGGAGAAAATTTTATGGAAGAGAAAGGGGGAAGGGAGGGATCTGATGGAGAAAAGAGAAAGGGAGGGGGAGAACCAGAGAAGGAGGGTAAGGGAGGGGAGTTCTGTTATATTTTTTCTTTTCTCTTTTGTTTATTTTTTGGTTGTCTTTTTTTTTTTTATTTCTACTGAAGTAAAATCACCAATTCAGTGAATTCACGTACCATATGTGCATATAAATCACGCGCTTTGTTCACCTCACCCATATAAACACCACATAAGCTCAGTCAATGGTCAGAGGCGTTTAAAATACTATATTTCGACAAGTACAAGTGCTTAAATGAAACTTCACAAAGTAAAGGGACCGGGATGTCAAAACGGTACAAGTGTTTACCAGGCTTTTCTGCCAAATAAAAATAAGAGGAGAAATATACTAGAGGCAGATTGATATACCATAACGACCGCTTGTGGCTTCCTTATAACAAAAAGTAACATAGGTAGATTGAGATCTTGCTGCAGGGAAAATTGCAAGAGATCAGGTAAGAGCCGAGGTACTAAACCTGCAAACGTTTACAATCAAAGGACACTAACCTAAAACAAGGAAAAACTGCGATTGATATTGCTGTACAAAATCATGCATCTCCTACAACTCTGATTAAGGCTGTTGGTGGGCCGGTCTGGGACCGAGACCGGACCGGGCCCGCGGTCCTAACGGGCTAAACGGTCCCGGCGGGCCGGTCCTGGTGGGCCGGTCCCTTAATGGGTAAGAAGCCCGTGACGGGCCGGTCTTGTACACGAGGCCCACGAGACCGGGACCGCTAAGCCCGGGACCGGCAGGCGGTCCTGGGCCGGTTCAACCGGGCCTAGCGGTCCTAACGGGCTCCAACGGCTAATTTTTAAAAAAAAAAAAATTTTTTTTTTAAAAATAAGTCCAACGGTCAGATTTAAAATCTAGCCGTTGGCCTTTAATTTTCAACCGTTTGGAACTTTAAAAAATAGCCATTTGGCCCCCAAACTTTATTTTAACCCCAAACTTTATATAATTACACTTTTCCCCAATTCTCAACTATAAATACCCCCTCATTCTTTCATTTTTACTCACCAATTCATCAATCTATCTCAATCTCTCTCAATCTATATCTAATTTCTCTTCTATAATTGCTTATTTTATTATTGCAATTTCGTGAAAAATTGTGAAGTTGGTGAATTGAAGTATTCAAGTCTTCAAGTCTTCAACGATTTTCAATTTTCAAGAAGTTGTTCGGCAATTCGGTAAACTCGTTCCAACTCTTAACTTTTAAGAATATATTTTTGTGTGTTTAGTTTGCATAATTGTAATTAATATGGCATTTTCTTTGAAAAAAATGTTTGGTGGTAAGGGAAAAGCTAAAATTGGTGAAAGTAGTCTCCAACCTACTACCCTTCCCCCGGCTCCCCGACCCAGACCTATTACCCGTCCTGCTGCTCCTATTATTCTTGATAGTGATAACCCTTGTTTTCAATTTTCCGATAGTGAATTTTGCCATAATGTTGCACAAGGTGAACAATTAAATGAAGAAGTTATGAATGCTCTTTATCCTAATCAAACTATCTTAGAAAATGATGAGGAAAATGAGGATGTAGATGAAACCCAACCGGATTTAGATGATTCACCTACTAGTCCTGTTAATAACCCAACTGATGCCCCGCCCGACCCACCTGTAGAAACCCCTACTTTTAATAGACAACCTTCTAAACGCCTAGAAACATCATTAGTTTGGAATTTTTTTACTCAAGTAAGAGAACAAAATAAGGCTAGGTGTAAAACTTGTGGGAAATTGCTGGCGCATAAATATACTGGAGACCGTAGCGGTACGGGTAGTTTGGCTAGGCACATACAAACACACCCTAGAGATAAAGTTAAATATTTACAAATGAAAGCGCAGCAAGAGGGGACAAGTGTAGATACTGCGGTTAACCCTAGTACAGGTTCAAATCTAGTTCAACCAGGAATTAACACTGTGATCGGTGGTATTTTATATTACGATCCTAATAAAGATCGTGAAGAATTAGCAAAGATGGTTACTGTTATGTGCTTACCATATACTTTTCCTTCTAATCCTAATTTTGTGCATTATATTAGAAAAGTTTTTAATCCTACTTATAAAGGTTGGCCTCGCGCAACAGTTAAGAGCGATATTTATAAATATAAACATGAATATGAACAATATTTGCGGTATTTATTTACTCATATAACTAATCGGATTTCTATTACTACTGATATTGGTAGAAGTAATAATGACTGTGATTATCTAACTGTTACAAGTCATTGGATAGACGAGGAGTGGATAATGCAAAAATGCATTATTGCGTATAGAATAATTAATTCACGTCACACAGGTAAGTTTATTGCTAACACCGTTGCAGATATTTGTAGATATTTTTGCATTAGAGATAAAATAATGACAATTTCTATGGATAATGCTTCTAGTAACACTAGTGCTATAGGCATACTTACAACAACACTAAATCCTGCATTTAGTAATTGTTTCCATGTGAGATGTATTTGTCACATTTACCATTTAATCGTCGGTGATGGTATGAGAATTTTAAATTTAGAAATTGAAAAGGTTAGAATGGCTCTTAATTGGCTTTATGGTGTTGCTGCATTGTTAAATCCTACAATGAAATTAGGAGGTCCTCACTTTTGCTACACAAATATTTATAAGGCTTTAGATCTTTCGGTTGAGGAATTTTCTACACTTGCAGAGGCAAAAGCCTCAATTAAAATAAATGCGCAAACAATTTATAATGCTTACCAACTTGCGTTAGATCATGCTAGGCCAAATGTTCCAACCCCTACTTCGTCTAGTTCACAATCATCTAAAAGAGCCGCGGGCCTACAAGCACTTAAATCTTGGACGGAGTTTAGGGGTTCTCAAGGTGATAATTTTGATGAGACTTCACATCTAAATGAGCTTCAAGTTTATTTGTCGCAGGGACTTGAAAAGGAGAATCCAGACGGCACCTTTGATCTTTTGGAATGGTGGAAGGCAAGGGAAAAACATTTTCCGGTTCTTGCAAGGATGGCTCGGGATATTTTATCTATTCAAGCTTCAACAGTTGCATCAGAGAGCGCTTTCAGTCAAGCAAGACTTCAAATAGGTGATCATAGAGCGTCTATGAGGGAGAGCTTGGAAAAATCAGTACTATTCAGAGATTGGATCCGCTCGGAAAGAAGAAACTTTGGACTTGCAGAATCACAACCGGAGATAGACGAAGCTTATGAAGAAATGATAGCGGAACTTGCGGAGGATGCTGCTTCGCCCGGAAGCGGTGATGAACAAGCTTCTTTTCCGCCACCACCAACGGAACCTCCTCCGAACCTTGAAGGATTTATGAGATTTGTTAGAGATACAATGTAGATTATGGTGTAACTTGTACTTTGGCATATCTTCTTTAGTTTTTTTTCCTTTTAATGGTGGTATTAGTACCTTGTTGTGCTCATTCCATTGGGGGGAAGAAGACTAAGAAAGATATGCCATTTTTGGTAATAAAAATTATAAAACATACCCTTGGCCTTGAATATCTCTTCGCAATATTTTTTTGTCTTTAACTTGCAATTATTTATAAGCTATAATATATATACATAACATACAATATATACTACAAGAAAATACATAAGGGAATATATATACATAACATACAATATATACTACAACAAATTATATAATGGAATATATATACATATATAAGGGAATATATATACATAACATACAATATATACTACAACAAATTATATAATGGAATATATATACATAACATACAATATATACTACAAGAAAATACATAAGGGAATATATATACATAACATACAATATATACTACAACAATACTAAAGAAAATAATAGAGAATATATATACATAACATACAATATATACTACAACAAATTATATAATGGAATATATATACATAACATACAATATATACTACAAGAAAATATATAAGGGAATATATATACATAACATACAATATATAGTACACTATATTAGTATACTATACTAGTATACTATATATATTATATTTACATGAAGAAGTAGTACTATATATACTACAAAACAAGATTTTTCAAAATGAGGGCCCCACCCCCAATGACCACCAACGGTCATATTAATTGCACAAATAGCCGTTTTTTTTAAAAAAAATTTACAAAACTAACCTTCTCTAACACTATAAGTACCCCCCTCCCTCTTCTTCATTTCAATACTCAATACTCATTTCTCAATCTAAATTTCTCTCAATCTCTCAATCTCCAATTTTCAAGACTTCAAGTCTCAATCTCAATTTTCAAGTTAAATCATGCCTCGTTCGGAAAGAGTGCGCTATTGTGTCGCAATACTATGAAGTGCTTGAAGAAAATGAAGAAGGCCAAATATTAAAGTGCAAGAATTGTGGAAGAGTCTTAAATTTTCGTTCAGGGTGTACCACAGGCATTTTAAGGAGGCATATAAAGTATTGTGTTGAGGGTATTTATCCGCAAATTCGTCTTTAAGATTTTTCAACAATTTGTGTTATTTTAAAATTATTAGACGTATTTATGCTTCATGTTGTACTTTGTTATTAATTTATTATGCATGCCAATTTAGTTTTACTATTGATTTGTTATTTTACATTTTCGTCAAACACTTTAATAATTAGATTTCTATATTATATATACCACATATATTTATATAGCCATGCATAAGAGCAATTTATATATATACATACAAATACGGTTTACAAGAAATTGCCCTAAATAAAAAAAATTAAAAAAAAAGCCCGGAAATAAAAAAAGCCCGTTAGGCCCGCTAAGCCCACGAGCCCGGCCCATTTAGCCCAGGACCATATGGGCTTAGGCCCGTCACGGGCTGGTCCTACCCGTTGAGCCCACGAAGCCCGGGACCGCGAAGCCCGGGACCGCCAGAGCCCGGGACCGCTAAGCCCGGGCCCGTTTAGCCCATTTAGGCCCGGGCCCGGGCCCACATACAGCCTTAACTCTGATTAGCTATGAAGATAATTACACTCGGAACCCTTTACACATCGACCATTCGTATTATATGGACAGGGCTTATTCCTTCTGAAGAAACCTCCAGAGGAACCGCCAGGCCCTCTACTGCCAAAAGATGACTGCCTATTCCAGCGTCCACCATTGTAACCTGAGTTACCGCCACGAGAACCCTCGTCCTTCTGACGTGAGAAGTTACCCCCATGACGCCGATGTTCATTATTTCTCGTGCCCGGACTTCCAGTAGATGGACGCCAACCTTGATTTGCATTTGCATATCCTGGTGGTTGTGATGGTCCTTGGACAAGAGTTCCAGGATTTCCTATTCCAGTAACCCATCCGTTACTAGGCGTAGGCCCGGGAACAGTTGATCCCATATTCTCCGTTGGAGCAACCCAACCTTGATGTGCATTACCGGGCGCCAATCCCTGGACCATAGGATTACCCAATGGTGCAACCCATCCTTGGTTCAAATTCCCAAGAAATGGCATGGTAGGCACAACCATACCAGGATTTGCATTTCCCGCAGGCATTGCTTGAACAGTGGCTCCCCAGTTCATATTCATGGCCGCCGGTACCTGTCCAATCCAGGTCATGTTTGCATTTCCTGGCATCATGCCCCAGCCAGGATTTGGATTTTCAGGTCTGAATGCTGATGCAGAACTGATACTCTCCGGCTGCGCCACCCCCCAGGGTGCAGTAGGCACAGATGGAGGTTGCTCATTGGGTTGGCCACCTTGAGTTTGAGCTCCCCAATAATGAGGTTGAGGCACAACTGAGGCACCTGCGCTTGTGAAACTTACGGCAGAATTTTGAACAGAAGATGTAACCCAATTACCATATCCCTGGGGAATCCCAAGTGCAGCAACAGAACCATTTGATTCTCCATACAATGAAGCAGCAGCAGAAGTATGAGCACCCACATTAGGGTTCTGAATATTAAGAGACTGAATGGACTTTACAGTTGCATTTTGTAAGCCAGGTTGGCTATTCATAACTGCTGCATGTTGTTCATTACTAGTAATCGACTGAGTATGTTGCATTGGATTTGTTGGGCCTGCTGGGATACCCTCTCCAGAGTTGAGCACAGGACCAAAACCATTATCAGAACTCACATTATTTTCTGATTCCCTTACTTCAATAGAAGAAGAAATTCCACCTCTAGTGGAAACAGAAAGACTAGGAGAATTCTCAGAACCACGACTATGATTCAAATGAGGTCTCTCTCCATCTCGATTTTGCACGACAGCTCTTGAATGTATACTGTCTACTGCTGGTGAAGCTTTTTCAAGCCTTCCTTCTAATGCATCAGTCAAAAGAATAGATTCGCCTTCCTTCTCTGTAATACTCCATATTTTCAGATCAGCAGGGAAGTATCCTGTATTGCTCCATTTACGTAACCTAACCATAGAAAATGGCCCCTGTGCTTTTCCAGAAGGATCCTTGTAATGCCACATCTTTTCTGTTTCATTGATCTTAACAGCAGTTTCTGCAGCCTTAACTGGGAGTGTAGCTGGAGAGGGTATAGATGCAATACCTGAAGAACTCGACACAGCATCGCTATTCCATCCAATTGTTTCAGAATTGGTAGCAGAAACGAGCTTCTCCAGATTCTGCGATTCTGTCTCCCAATCTTTTCCTTGACTCCATGCATTCTCATTTACAATGTCACCAACATGTGCAGCATCTTTGCTTTTGCTAAAAATGTTTTTACTGGACAAGGTTCTGTCTAATTCCCAATTTTTAGACTGAAGTTTCCCTGCACTCCCCCAAGAATCTTTTGGAGAAAAGTTGCTTCCAGGGGAAACTGGCCTGTTTCCTCTCCTGCTGAAACTGGAATCTCGTGACCCTGTATAAACATCTGCGCGTAGCAGCAGTAGCAAAATTTTAAACCAATACTCCATAATATGAAATAGATAGAGAAGAAGAAACGGAAATCATAAACCTCGTCTACTCTCATTTTCCCCATCATCATCCTCTGACTCATAGCTCGGATCCATTTTTGGATCTGCATGTATTTCTGGGACTTCGTCAAGTCTACGACGACGTTCATCAGGAGTCTTTAAAGCTGCAGTTTCTCCACACATTCTCTAAGCGTAATCATAGTTAAGGCATATAGCACCAGGTAGAACTTAAGAAGATATCAATTAATTCAGCTGAACTTGCATGAATAACATCCCCATCATAATCATTATTACATGCAAATGGTGATTTCAAAAAAGAGAACAAGTTGGGAGGGTAGGTGAGCTTCTAGGGGTTTCATCTTCAGTTGTCTAGGATGGTCCCTCGACACTTTATCTGGGAAGAAGAAAACAATGTGCAAAGTCTAAAACTCTAGGTCAAACCGAGCAGAGATAAACGGAATGAGTAGCAGTAAACACCTAACAACAACAAACCCAGTGTAATCCCACAAGTGGGGTCTAGGGAGGGTAATGTTTACGCAGACCTTACCCATACCTTGTGAAGGTAGAGAGGTTGTTTCCGATAGACCCTCGGCTCTAGCAGTAAACACCCATCCAATGCAAATAATAATTAAAAGGGTAAAAAAGAACGGCCTGAATTAATGCAAGGTTTCTGGAACCACGTGATTCAGTGTCTGAATCATAATGCAGAGTTTGTCATAACAAGACAAAGGAAATAGGGTCAACTGGCCACATTAGTGCACTTTGGACCTAACAATCCTGCCCTGCAAGAAAGGGAATCAAAAACGAAACAGCAGTCGTACAGGAAGCATCCATATTTGTTAAGTTATGTCAAATTGAAGAGCATAATTATCTATTCATTTGATAAATAGGAGAACATAATAGACTTTACATAAGTGAACACTTAAAGAGAGAGAGAGAGAAAATATTGATGATAATGGATATTCCATTTTACGCCCTTTCTCGCTAGCTCGATCACGAAGATGACTAAGCCGAAGGATTTCCGATTCCAGCCACTGCAATTCAGCACAAATAATCAGGCATGATATATTAGAATAATTTTGAAAACCATATAGATAATGACGGCTCTGAGAAATAAGAGACAGGAGAGAGAATTGAGAGAAACAACAACAACAACAACCCAGTAAAATCTCATGAGTGGGGTCTGGGGAGGGTAGTGTGTACGCAGACCTTACCCATACCCCGAAGGGGTAGAGAGGCTGTTTCCCAAAGAATTGAGAGAAAACGTGATATAAATGTCTTACACTTATATAGGCCCATTACTCTATGTACATATTAGCAATCAATATATTGCTGCCGAACAATCTAAATTTAGCTAACAGTAGCAATCTATGGAACAGAACTGCTAACTAGAATGATTACGTTCACACATAGAGGAGAGGGAATAGCTATCCTAAAAAAGAGTCTTCATCTCCCCATGCAATTTAACTAGACTTGTACATACCCCCAAAAAAAAAAAAATAAATAAATAAAGGAGAAACACCTCATACCCAGAAGATCAACAAGAGAAATTCTAAGAAGACTGGTCACTCTTGTGTTGCTAAATTTCCTAATCATTGTTAGAGCCTAGAGAACTTAACTCCATATGTTTAAATGGCACCATTGAACATCAGGAGAGTGTAATAACAACAGCTATATGCCGATGAGGCTTAACAAGAAGAAACCTCTCCAAAACCTCATGACGTTAATGTTTCAAACACTAAACTTCAAAGAAGCTATTATAAATTCCCTTTTTAACTCATAATATCGTTTTTACAAAGTCCTTGTTTCACTACATAAGCATCTTCAACACTCAATCAGCAAAGTGCTGACTGCCAACACTATTAGGTCCTTTGGCATAATTACGGTTACAGAAACTCTGTTTCGTGTAAATTGATCAGGCACCGGAAGTCAAAACAAAGAGCATACTTGAGGACTACTGCAAAACTTTCCTTCAAGGTGACTCACAAAGATATATATGCATTTGCAGAGGGAGGGAGGGATAGAGAGAGATGGCAAGCCCACGAGAAAAAGAGAGAGAAAGCCATCGTTCAAGGTATGATAAAAGCTATAGAAAAAAACGCGAGAAGTGAAAATGTCCACTATCATGTGCCAAAGGGGACTGCTTATAACTCTGCAATAACTTACCTTCAGGCTTCAGCCCATTTAGTTACAATATAACCCATTTATGATACTGGTACCACCTTAAATCTAAAAATAAATGCATACTGGGAAAAGTAATAAAAAGAAAGCAGGTCAGCTTACATCATCAACTCTAGCAGCCTGTATTTCCACGGCTTTGTCAAGAACATCACCCTGTAAATGTGACGATTTATCAGCAATACGAGAATAAGGACAAAGTTATAGTAACCATATATTGTCACAATCAATTCCAGTCTTACCACCGTTAGTCTATTGATCAGTCCACACCTTATACTCTGGCGTAAACGCCTGCATTCTTCCTGACAATTGAAAGTGGATGCATGTGAACAGCTAGATCAGAAGACATCAATTTAGCCTTTTCATCAAGCGAGATAAGTGAACATATTAATGATGTTTCAGATGAGCATTATTGATGATGCAATGGCACTCATTGTAGGATAAAATCCCATCGGGTAACATGAGCACGCCAAATATGGACTATATAAACCCTTGGATCTGATACTCATACTCAAAAGCCAACCAACACCTAAATGCAGTTGGCAAAAGCTTGCTGGCTGCAATAAAATCCCATGCACTTTTCTTGTCTTTTCCGTTACCACAAGAATTGTTTCAGTAAATTCTATTTAATTAAGTAGCTCATGAATTGCAATTCAATCACCTCAGTAAAATCTTGATTTGAGACAGTATCAATTGATACAACCTCTGTCTTGTTCAGATTTAAGATATCCAAAACAATATCAGTTGTCCTCTTGCCAAGTTTGTAGGGTTCAGCAGCTTTGCTTGTACCTGGAACAAGAAGACTCTTGTTTATGATAGGAAGAGGTTCAAGTACAATTTCAGACACATAGTGACAACAGAGAAAACAAAATGTCCAAACTAGCAATATCAGAAGAACTATAAATAATTACCAACGACTTGCACCAGCCTATAGAGGTCTTGCTTCTGTGCACTACCAGAAATTCGTATTCTTACAAACGTCCCAAAAACTTTTTCATGAAAATTGTCAATCTCTTCAAGTAGGTCTCTCTATCAACTTCCGTCGTAAGTAAATTAAGCTGATGTTGTGCGCATTAATAGCTGCACAGTCTCCACAATTTGATTGAGGTCCCCTTCTTTCGCCTTTCTTACGTTTACGTTTCCTATCTTTGACTCCACTACTAAGAGTGTCAGCATTTCTATCAGTTTCAAAGTGATTGACATCCGTATCAACTATACTGCCTTGAACATCATCTATCTGAGATTCCTCTTTCACAAGAAAATGAGACTCGAGCAGTTTTAACATTTCAAAATGCCCAACCCGCAGTTTTCCAAATAGTCTTTCAAGTCTTGAATCACATATAATTTGACTTTTCCGACGAGGATCACGAAGTTTTTTTGTTTTGATGTATTCAAGCAACAGAGCTTGCACGTCAAATTGAGAAATAACAGAAGCGTCACCATTGTTCATGTGCTTAACAAATTCAAGCCGCTCTTTTGATACCCATTCAGTGGTGCCAGCTGTAGAGAAGCCTTCACTTCCACTAACAGCAGCTGCACTGGTTGAATCCTCTTCAATTCTGAGTGATTTTGATCGTCTTTTTAAGCTTCTTCTTTTAGTTTTACTGGCTTCCAAAGTTTCAATAGAATCATCTGAACCTGAAGCTCCATCATCATTGTCGTCATACTGAGGATCAGCCAAATCATGTTTATTAGCAGATTCATCAGAGCCCTTCCAAGGACTTTTCGCATTGGCAATTTCTTCTGAAGATAAAGATAACCTCATTTTTAGATCAACAAGGTAATCCTTAAACAGATACTCCCAGGAATTCTTGTCATCAAAATCTACTGGTGCCTGGGCTAGCAAACAGCAAAATTTTTAACATAGCCCGGAAAGTATAGAAATAGTAAAAATAAATTGTACAAAAGGATTTCATCTGTTTAGTAGAGTTTGCATTTTACTTTTAGCTATTTAGAGCAGCTCAATGTAGATGGTGAATATATTATAACCATATATCCCGGGAAGAGAGCTAGGTACAGGAGTACATACATCCTTGTCTCCCAGCCCATTGCTTTCTATTAGCTTGACAGTTCTCATGCAGGTCTCACAAAAGCCTTTGTTTCCCTTAACACACAGGATAACAGCATTTTTTATACACCCCTTGCATAACGAAAATGGACATGTATAGCACATGTAGTAAGCCTTTTTCTCACAATTGCTACATTGATGCCAACCTGAACCGAAAATAAACAATGAGCAAGATAAAGCAATAGAAAAGCAAGTAAATCCAGCATTATCAAAAGCTACAGTAAATCAAGAATATAAAAGCAGTAAAATCCACAAAAATACAAATGGGGAACTATTGAAATTAGGAAGTATTGATATTAAGATGGTTTCACATGATAAAAGCTTTTCAGTTCTGGGTTCTGGCAGCGTGTTTAATCCCTACACCCAAAAGCTTGAGAGTTGAGACTTCAATAAAGTCAAGAAAAATGAAAAACCATGAAGCAGAAGGAAGAAGAAAGTAATGCATCTAGAGCGGCATTTAATATTCCCAAAACTTATCATCTTTCTAATCAAGAACTCAAATTAAATCATTGATTGACTACTGTAAGCAAAAATAAACTGCTCCAATAACAGTAATACATCGATACCTCTAGTTTAGTTAATTTAAGAGAACTCTAGCTCAGCTTAATATTATTGAAATAATCTCCCTATAAGAGATAGGATATTAAGTAGCACCCAAGGGGCTCTAACAAATTAGGTTTATCCATACACTTTATATCAGTTAAGATGTCCCACATTGGTTGAAGGATTAGGTTGTTGTTTCCTTCTATGGACCTACGCAATCCCCACCTCATGAGATAGCTTTTGAGATTGAGTTAGGTCCAAGGTCGATTTTCTTCAAATGGTATCACTTATCAGAGTTACACTCGTTCCTATTCTTGGTTTACCCAATGTTCGGTGCTCATGTTATATCGTCCTCACTCTGATCCAGTCCTGGCTATTCGGAAGGTTGTTAGAATGCCCCACATTGGTTTTGACTAATGGGTTATTGTCTCTCATATGCTTATGGGCAATCATCATCTCTTTAGCTAACTTTTAAGGTTGAGTTAGACCCAAGGTACATTTCTTAACAATACCATATAAAAAATCTGAAAAACCATTTCTCAAATGACTATACCCACCTACTTTTGTTTCTTTCCCAGCCAGTTCCTCTCCTCCCAGCTGGTCTTCTTTCTTCTCTCTCCCCCTCTAATATTAGTCAACACCAAAAGTCCACCTATCCTTGCCATTCCAAATCTGCTCTAGCAGTTTCTACCTTTGGGATCTATAAAATCCATCCATTGACGCGGACCATAAACCGGTGCGACTCAGTCAACTGATTAATCAGTTCAAGTGGTCCACTTCTCCCTCTATGGCACTAGCACAAAGATCCTGCACTCTTGAACTTGTGCCCTTTAAACTGATTATAGCTAGATTGTATCATATTTACTGCTATCCTTTTGGTACTCAAGTCTTTGTGCTCGATATATTAAACTGTATTTGTTATCCTTTTTTCTTTCCTTATTTTTTGAATAAGTAAAGAAGATATTTAATTCCCAAAACGTGACAAGCTAATGCTATACAAGTACAAAATCACCGAATTACAGAAACCTACACGTTACCTAGTACAGACAAGTATAGCACTTTTCCCACAAGAAAACAAAATACATTCCACACACTAAACTGGTACTTCACCCCTTTACTGCATAACCCATGCTGGCGGATGTGTGTATATGTCTTTCTTTCAAATCCTTGTAACCAAAATCCTTCCCTTACCCTCATCTTCCTCCTAATTCTCCTGTGTGAATCCTTTTTTTTCCGTCCACCTTGTTTACCTGCCTCCCTTCTTTTGTTTGCATTCTGTTCATGCCTCTCTCATTTTCTTCATCCTTACCAAGTTTTTCCATGCTTCTTGCTAGTTTCCACCCTCTCATTTTTTCCAATTTCGGCCACAGAATCCCTCATACACAACTTATCACAATCTGTGGTCATCGTACAAGAGCCTTTGCGCAGTGGTAACCATCAGTATAAGCATAATGTGGCTTCCCATTAATGCCAATGGTGCAGCCCTTCAATCCTAATGACATTACCTGCTTCATTAATGATCTGTCAGTTCCTACTTCTAGGTGGGAATAGTGTTTGTCAAAACAAAAGTGTAAGTGTGTCAAGAGTCAGCTAAGGCTTTAAGCTCAAAGCGGAACTAGAGAGGAATAGATGGAAAAAAGAACATATATATATATATATATATATATATATATATATATATATATATATATATATATAGATATGTGTGTATGCGCGCGCGTGCGCGCCCAAACTATAAGCATAAACAATAGTTTGTATGGATAAAAAAATTAACCAGATTGCAATTAAGTGAATATGAAGTAAAATTTCAAGTCAATCAATTTCAACCATTTTAAATCTTGGAGAAAAAATTAAACAAACTGCAGTTAAGTGAAATATGAAGTAAAAATCATGTTAATCAAGTTCAACCATTTTAAAACTAAATTCATACGCAGACATATGATTTTTTTCATGATGGTGATGTCCGAACTAGCTCATTAGATACCTTCTACCTCCCGCCAGCACAGGTGTTGGGTAACTCTGCCAACTCAAATTTAGGCAGATGGGAAGAAATTACCTAGTGTTTTTTGCCTCCGTTGGAATTTGAACAGGAGACCTCATGGTTCTCCAAATTAGCGAGTAGTTTTCATATACTAGAATTTTAATTTCAAAATCCTACAATCCTATCCACTGATGTTCCTTAATTATAGTTATACTGTTTCACCAACTATATTTATTACTCGGTGTTATCTTCTTCGAGAAAGAGCCATGTGAATCGAGGCAAATGGATTGAAACATATTTAGTTCCTGCTTCCTATTTCAAAAGGGGTTGAAGATCAACACAGGGAATTGTGTCCCTCTCCACTTCCCTTTCTCTATCACTTTGTATCAGAATAACATAATTACCCCTACCCTTACGGACCCCACCCCTTTTTGTTTTGGTGGGGGGGGGAGGGGTTGTTAGTAGAGAAATCTCCGAGGGCAATTAGCACTCCTTTTCTACTTTACCTTCTTTTATTTTTCGTTAAATTTTCAAGTAATTATTTGTAAAGAAGATATTAAAGCAAAATAGTATCAAACAATACTTTGGTTAAACTTATCAAAAATAACATGACTTTGGTTTACTACAGACATCAATACAATATGACTACCCTTACTCCCCCCCCCCTCCCCCCCTCAGAGGCGGACCTACAGCAGTCCTTGAGGGGTCACATGAACCCGTTAACTTTGGCAAAAACTCTTTATATACATAGTTGTATATACGTTGGACCCCTTAAATATTTTTCTTGGCCCCCATATTAACAAAATTACGCCTGGAGCAGTGATACGCTTCCAAGCATAAGCCTTGCTCCTTGTCGCACGACACGGGTTTGAAACCTGTCTGCTTCAATTTTTTTAATGGTGCCCCCCTTATTCTTAAATCCTGGTTCCGCCTCTGCCCCCTCCCCACCTTTATTTTGCTTTTTTCTTTGGGATAACTGAAAATCCCCCCTACCCCCCCCCCCCCCCCCCAGAAACACACACACACCCTTTCTACTTTACCTTCTCTAATTATTGGTACTAAATCTTCAATTTGTTATTTGTAAAGAAGAAATTGAAGCAAACTGCTATTAAATGATGACTTTGATTTACTAGAGAATTGACATATTGTTCTAGCTCGGCATAAATGAAATCCTTTTCCTCATGATCCCACAAATATGTAGTAGTTGTTTCAGATGATGAATTTCACTACTCTACAGCTTTAAGTCTAAGGAGACTCTTGAAGGAATTCAAAAGGTGGAAGATATCAATGTGTATTCCAACTTTAAAAAGTTGGAAAGAAAAAGAACCAACATGAGTAAATCGGTGATACATAAATTTTATCCACTAAATGAAGTCTTATGAGGAAAAAGACGTACATATATGCACTTACCACAATTCCATCGACCTTTGGCACGGAAAAATTCTTCATCCCGGTTAACGCAAGAGGGATGATATGCTTTAGGACAACCCCTAGAAATTAAAGACCACATAAAAAAGCAACACATGAGAAAATCCACAAAACAGAGAATGCAAAGCAAAATTATGAATCCCTTTGGTCCAACTTATATTACACTATTGCTGAAAAAGAAAGACGCAAAACGTTATGGCATTTTTAAGATTGCAAATTTCAAAGGTCTTCCTTTCTTTGCTAAACTCCATGCCGAACCAAACTATGTCACATAACTTGAAACACAGAAAGTACTACTTAAAATGGATAAAATTTCATATGTAATCAAACTCACCTATGGTCACATAGCACCAAATCCCCGCCGTCAAAGCAAACGAAGCAAACGTCCTCTTCTGTAATCTTCCTACTTGAAGCTCTAGCTGCAGCCTTTGAATTTCCAGGACTCTTAGACTCCCTCCTCTTCCTCTTTCCTCCCAAGGATTCCCCTGACTCGACTGTATCAGTTTCAGTCTCCACTTCAGTATCCACATTAGTAGTCTCTTCCTCAACACCTATTGCTTCATCTTCCTTGTCTACAAGGGCACCCTGTGAATCATCTAACGTCGAAACATGTTCCACTTCTTCATGTTTTGTTACATCCATTTCCACAGCTTTAGCTTCAATTGTTGATACATCTGTCTCTACAACCATCTCATCATTCTCCTCAACTTTATTCAAAATCAATTTCTCAGCATCATTATCAATAGTAGAAGTCTCCCCCTCAACATCCACTCCTTCAAACCTACATTGTACTTCTTCTTGCTTCTTTAAATTTGCCCCATCTAGTGCCCCCTCTATTGTAGCTTCCACAGTTGAAAAAACTCCCTGTCTCACTGCTTCACCATTCTCTTCATTTCTGGTTGCAACTCTTGCCACAGCATCAGCGCCAACGCTCTGAGAATTGTCTACTTCGTGCTTCAACTCAGTATCAGCATCAGTTTTATTCTCCACCTCAGCACCCATTGCTTCATGAAGAACCTGTGAATCATCTTTTGCCACCTCAGCAATTGAAACATCTCCCTCTGTCACTGCTCCACCATTTTCTACATTTTGCAGGCGCAAAAATTGCCACATCATCAGCACAACTACGCTCACAACTCCCTACTTCGTGCTTCATCACCTCCATCAACTCTTCTTTCTTTAACTATCAACTGAAACATTTTCCTCTGCCACGGCTTCATCATTGCCCTCAGTTTTACTCAAAACTACAGACTCTGCCCCGGCGGTAACATTTTCTTCTTCCGCCTCCACCTTCGATTCCACAAACGACATAACCACCTCCGTCACCACCGAACCCAACACAACAGCTTTTTCATCATTTTCGTCTGTAACCGCACTGTTAACGGCATTGAAATCCGTAACGGTATCGCATTTTTTCAATGATTTCTTATCAATTAGGGGTTGTTCGTTAACGTTATCCTCCAGCAAGGGTTTATTTACGTTCTTTTGATCGTCGTCCGCCATGGAAACTGAACTTCTATAAAACCCTGACCCTAGATTTTTGCGTAAGACAGAAGATGCTGATGCTACATAGAGGAAAATGGTAATCGTCTATGAAGAGTGATTCGATTGTATTTTATTGGAACTTGAAAGCTTATATAAGAATCGGTTTTCTGCACGTGCCTAAATAATTTCTTATCGTACTACATCAGGTGCATACTAAGAAAATGAGCTGATTTAGCTAGGTTTGGATATAGATTTAGTTAATATATGAAAAAAGAACTTTTGAAATTGTGTCAAAAAATAGTTGTTAAAATTACATTTGGACATACATTTTATTCGGAAAAAAATGATGAATTATGAGTGGAAGAAAAAAAATTCATCCAAATACTATACTAAACTAGTTTTTGGGAACTTGAAAAATAACTTTAATATTTTTTATAAAAAAAACTGATCAAATTCTATGAATAAAAATGTTTTTAAATTTTTTTGGAAAAAAAAAGTCAAAATCTATGTCATTTCAGATGCGGTTTAAACTATAACCAGATTTTAATAACTAGTCTTATGATACGCGCTTTGCGCGTGTACCCATGTCAATGAGTATAGAACTTTTTAAACAGACGTATAAATATTATTAAATATTATATTTGTATGAAAGAATAAAAATATAAATATAAATTTCTAAAAATAATAAATCTTGATCTTTTCACCTCAATGCCCCAGACGTACGCCTGGTATGCACCCAACGCCTTGTGCATAAGCTCGTCCAAAAGCTCTTTTGCAATCGTTTGTAATTAGATTTGTATGTAGATCATCAAAAATTCATTAACAATCCTTTGAGCAGTCAAAAACTTTCTTTATTAATCGCATTTCAAGATTTGAGAATATAATATCGCGTCACAAAAGTGAATTTGATAAAACCTTTCATCCAAAGTTCTTATTTTTGTCGGTTCTTGATTATTTATATCTTTATTCAAATTTTATTATTTATGTTATTTCATTTGACAATAAATTATTTTATTTGTGGCTTATGAAAGTAATTATTTATTAGTTAGTATTAGTGAGTAAAAATTTATGAATATTCATTAATGTTTTTTAGTAATGAATTAGCGTATTAAATTGTTTGTCAAATTATTAGTAGCTTATTAGAAGCACACGATGATAAAATATAATATGTAAATTGTGAATTATTCCTCTAAGAGGAAATGTTGTTTTCTAATTGATTTAATTCTTAACTTGTTTGCCGCTCAAAACATGTCAATAAAGGAGACATTAGTCCTTAATTTACTTTTTTTATTCATTTACTTCTCACCCAAATTTATATAATGGATTAAAGTTATAGATAGTCAAAATATGAAATAAACTTTAATGTAAAGTATCTTTTTAAGAAAATAATTTTATAAATTTGATATATAACAAAAAGTTTAAATATTTAATTTGGAAGAAAATTGTACATTGATGGAATCTTAACATGCTTAATCAAATTTATAAATACACGTTCCTAGTTTGTAGGTTTAAAAAAGTAGGAACAAATTACTATAAATGAATTGTTCGATCTATACAAGGTCAAATTTAATTGACTTAATGTCCTAAATTTTAGACTTATATGTAACTTAAATAAGGAAAACTTTAATAAGTAAAATTTTACTTGATTTAAAACTTCTAAATGTTAGGAGATAATTTAAATGACAATCTTGTCCAATATAAAATCAAATTTTAAGGGTAAAAAAGGCGAACGACATTTCGCTAAGGGTCTTCGTACTTTTAATATAGTACTAGTTTCTATATACGTGCTTTGCACGTATATCTTCAATAAATTACTTATGAACAAACAATAAATTAAATTTGTAAAAAAAATTATACATAAGAAAGAATCATATTAAAGCAATTGACGTGGAAAAATTGCAAAATCTTTGGAATGTTGAAATGTGCTATTATGAATTCAAAATGGTTAGATATAGTCTAAACCTGCAAAAGTAATCTATTTAGTTAAGTTAGTTCGATACAATTGTATCTATAATGTGAAACTATGCAATATGATAGTATTTTATTTAATGTTTTTGACAACCTTGTACACGATATTTTTGGTGTATGTTCTATTCGTCTAATTTTTAATGTCTAGAAATCTTTGCGACAAATACAGTCCAATATTAAAATATTTTAAGAAAATAGAGTGCAACAAATACAATCCAATATTAGATTTTTTGAGAAAATATATTACGACAAGCAATATACGAAATAATTAAGTTACTAATCCAGGTCTACATATAGAATGATTGTAAAAGAATAAGAGTCTGTTTAAGTTAATTGATTAAAATTAAAAAAAGATGATCAGCATCAAACATGTTAAAATTAATTTTATAATAAGTTCTTGCAATTCTCTATAGTCTAATATTTCCCTCTCTCACGTTTTTTTTTTTCTTTTCACAAAATTAAAATTTACTCCCAATTATTCTAGGTGAATCATGTATATTTTAGTGCCCCTTAAACCTCACTTACTTGAATAAAATCAACCGTTGGAGTATATATATAAATATAAATATTTATTTTTATTTTTTACTTTAGCTTATATTGATGATACATTTTTTTGTATTTTATGTCAACTAATTGTGCTCTGAAACATCTTTTCATTCTAGTTTTAAAAATTAAAATAAAAACAAACGTATATTTAAACAAACCCAAAGATAATTAGATAAGTAGATAAGTAGATAAGTAGATACATGGAGCACTTATGGTCCTAAGAGTTAAATTATGCATATTTTTGTAACATAATAGGAATACCTCTAAAAAAAACAATAAAGTTAAATCGCAAAAATATTTAACTAAAAGGAAAAATCTTAAGTTTACCGATTAGATGATTACATAAATAACAACTTGTAATTCCATTTGACACAAAAATTTGGTCCAATATCATGTTATAATCCCTCAATTTTCTCTATCTTTGATAAATCTTACAAGAGTTTGATGTCCTAAAAGATATAATAATTATATCTATTAAAACAAATTATATAAAAATAAAAATAATTGTTGTAAATAAAGCATGGCTTCCAGGGAAACATGCCACCAAATTTTAAAACAAAAAACTTAACGAAAAAAGATATAACAAAAATTGAGAAACATTACCAATTTGATTCCTTATAGCATATCACTTTTCTTACGTGATAAATACTATCTTCTCCGAAATGGATTCTTATTTTATTTATTGCTCTATTTCTTCATGATTAAATCTCCACCCTATTACAATTGTTAATCGTAATGGACAGTATTTCCAATTGTATCCTTTTCTTATGATTTTTTGTGAAAATTAATATAAATAATTAAGGATATAAAAGTCGATCAATATTTCAAGGATATTTTGGTCTACCAACATTTAGCATGAAACATTCGTGCTTTTATAATAATATAGATAGATAGATAGATAGATAGATAGATAGATAGATAGATATAGATATAGATATAGACTAGTTGAGGTTTAGTTATATTTTTCGACCGTAGACCCTTCCTATTAAGGGGTCGTTTGGTATGAGGTATAAGAAGGCATAATGCTGGTATAAAAATATAATAACGCCTTAATACTTAGAAAACCTGGTATAAGTTATCTTAGGATTAAAATTAACACCGAGATAACTAATACCTTGTAGAGGGTGGGGTAATTAGTGCCGGGATAACTTATACCTTCTTCTTAGAAATTATGCGATTGTCATTTTTAATACAACATACCAAACAGTTGATAAATAACAATACCAGGATAACTAATCTGAGCATAACTAATCCCAGCATAATTAACTTTTCTCGGTATAAGCCATATTCAAACCAAACGACCCCTAAGGGTGTTGATAAGTTAGATTTTTGCTATGCATGTAATATGACAAAATTAGTTTTTCTTTTGCTTAATTAATAACGAACTCAAAAATTTTTAGGTGGCCAATAATAATATTTTTTCAAAAGAAAATATTACTTTAAGTGGCCAATGATCGGTTTAGATTACTTTAATATATTATTAATATTTAAAGTGCTCTTCAGTATAGAAAAAGATCAAATTTAAATACACACACAATAAATATTGACTACTAGCAAAATTCAGGAGTTCTAAAAAATTTATGGACTATAATGATGAAATCAGCAAATGATGTTAATCCTAAATTAAAAAATCTCAGCATATAAACTTATTGAAGCAATCTCTGAATCTGAGGAAAATGAAAGAAAAGTATTGAGAAAATTTTCATGTAACTTTAAAAAAGAAGAGCTGGAGATATAAAGAATTTGCATTTCAATTACGAGATTCCTCGTCAAATATTAAGCTTTCGTACGCTAAGCAAACAGAAATCTTATATTTTATATCTATCTATCTATCTATATTATTATAAAAGCATGAATACAATGTCGGATTAAAAAAATAACCTTATAATATTAAGTATAATAAGTCATAATAAAAGGACATAACCGGAATTCCAGATATTAGCCTTATAATCCTATTAGTTTTAGGACATAATACTACACTTTAAGAATCCTACATGACAAGGTTCCAATACAATATTTACGAATATAACATTGGTGAACCAAAATATCCTTAAGATATCTTTCGCTAATTAACTCTACGTTGGATAAAATGTCAAAAAGTTAAAATTTTAAAA